CAACAACGCGACCGGAAAGTGGGAGCTCAGCATCCCTTCCACTGGTGGCGAGTACGTTACCAAGTTCATCCAACTGCTCGACCTGGACAACCTTGCCAACCTCGACAATGTCACCTACGACACCCTCGTGGAATGGATGAACATCGGCATGATCCGCTACCTCGACAGCCTGCAAACCACTCTGCCCGATCTCACTCCGTTTCAATCCTCCGGCGCAAAGATGATCCATTACCACGGTGAATCCGACCCGTCCATCCCCGCCGCGTCCTCCGTGCATTACTGGCAGTCCGTCCGCTCGATCATGTACCCCAACATGACTGATGCCGAAGCCCAGGAAGCTATGGCTGACTGGTACCAATTCTACCTCGTACCCGGCGCGGCGCACTGCGGTGCCAATAAGCTCCAGCCTGGCCCTTGCCCGCAGGACAACATGGCTACGATCATTGATTGGGTTGAGAATGGGGTTAAGCCCAGCCGTTTGAACGCGACAGTGTCAGCGGGTGACAACGCTGGCGAGGTGCAACAGCTTTGCCAGTGGCCTGCACGACCACTTTGGTCTGGGAATAGCTCTGACTTCGAGTGTGTGGAGGATAAGGCGTCCATTGAGAGCTGGACGTACACTTTTGATGCGTTCAAGATGCCTGTCTACTAGGTGTATCCCACCAATTGTCATGGTTGTCGTCGCCTAGATGTCACGGAAGGGGATGAGACGAGTGGACGGGAGGAAAGTGGGTGGAATGTGTAGTCTTCCTTCCTGTTCTTCAGTAGTTCTCTTATTATCTTGTATTGTACTGGCTGTTGGCCCTCTAGAATAAACATTGGCTATCAGTTCCCACCATCATGGCTCATTGCAGTATCCATCGATGAAATTGACAGTCAGCCTATTCCGGTTCTCCTTCAGCAGTGTTTCTCGTCCGATGTCCAAGAGCTTCGTCACATCTTGCCGGCAATCTGCATGTTGTCAGCCTCAATTTTTCGATCTTCGAAGCACGAGCTTCTTACCTAGGAACAGTCCCCTCAACTCCTTCCCCTTTCCACTAGCCAGCCAAGCACAGGTCTGCCCGCAAAGCGACGGTCCGTCCTTGAAAAGGTCTTTGAAGAACTCTTCGTCCGTGAGGTCACCGTACTTCTGCTTCACATCATCTGGCGCGCCAGCTACATTGCGTTAGCATGCTTTTCGGCGTCGTGTGCCAACGAGGAGTATTTACCTCCGCCCATGTTACCTCTCACTCCACCTGGATGCAGCGCATACATATGAATCGCTGGGTCCAGCCCATCTAGTTCCATCTCCAATTGTAGTGTGTGTGTGGCACGCATCAGAGCGGCTTTTGACGTCACGTATCCCAAAGTCATGGGTACGTCGACAGTACCGGAGCGAGAGGCGATGTTGATAATGCAGCCGTGGCCGCGGTCGCGCATTTGTGGAAGGACGGCGTGGATGAGCATTAGAGGCTGGACATACGTTAGTGATGATATATCGGCATACGGAAAGACGAGCTTACAGCTTTGAAGTTGACCTCGATCTGTTTCCAAAACGTGTCAAAGTTACCCATAATGAACGGTCGCTGGGTGAATATCCCCGCGTTGTTCACCAGTATATCAATCGGTCCTAAGTCTTTCTCCACTTGCGCAAAGACCTCCTTGACGCGCTCCATATCCGTGACATCGCAGCCATATGCCTCGACCTTTCCTCCTGACGCTGAACATGTCTTCTTGGTTTGTGTGAGGTTGTCGGTGTTTAGGTCGAGGATGGCTATGTGAGCCCCTGATCTCGCTAGCGATTCTGCGATGGCGGCACCAATGCCTTGTCCGGCTCCTGTTACCAAAGCTACCTTTCCGGCATTGGATCCTTCTAGGGCAGATGGAACGATTGGGCCGTATGGCGCGTGGTTGAGGGGGATGGTGCTGTAGCCGAATTGTGCTGGATCCATGGTTGCGGTGTGTTGATAGTAGATCTTAGGGTATCAGTGGCTTCTTCTCTCAGACTAGAGATTGTCGCAAAGATATGAAGTTTGCCATGCTGTACTTGCGGGCGGCATAGTTCCGACCGGTACGTGACCGATGCGGGGCGGTCTCGGGGTAGCTGTTGCCCCACATGAGGTGTGTGGGGTAAATTCAAGAGCCGACTCGGTATTTCATCGTAGGCTTGTAGGAAAAGACGAACGTGTCTATGAACTCAGAGGTGTGATCGCTGACGAGAGTTGAGAACGGTTTGTGATACTTCGCGAAACTGACGCGTGGTGACGTCTTCGGGTGTTCCTAAATAGGCATAGTGCTGCCGCCGCCAGACCTTGTGTCGCTGGTCGCACAATTACCCATGCTTCATCAACCGCGATACGCGACGACCATACGAGTACAGTGTCCGACGCTCGCGGCCTGAAGCCACACAAACTCGGTTCATGGAACCTGTGGCACGGACAGCGGTGTGCCGCGCTCAAAAGGCACAGAGACCTCGACCATCAACGGTCGTCATCCACTACCACTTCATCTACGGGTCTTAACAAAAACAACATCTGGAGCAAGAAGAAATGATCCAAAGCGGCACGACATATTGAACAATGCAAGACATCGCGTTAACAAAATGGCCTCAAAACCACTCAAACCGCCACAACAGGGGTTTAGATTAAACGCCCTTTGTTTCAAAAGCTTGAGGCGCGGCTCAAGTCATGAATACATGACTCAGCCATTGTCCACCAATTTGCATACTTCAATCGAGAGACACGCTAGAACCATTCATTGTCACGATTGGGTGGCAGTAGAGCGCCTGATGGCAGCTGATACTCCTTTCATATTGGCATGGCCTCAGCCTTTGTCGCAAACTGACCAACGTAGGTATCCCTATGGGTATTCAGTTGAATCCTTCGGTTCAGGATGAATGTGCGAATGAGTCCAGTATGCGATTGCTATAAGTAATGGAAGCAATCTATGCAGTGTAAGTGACTCTTGAAGAGTAGCTTCCTCAGTCTTTCCGGCGACTACGATGCAGCACACAACTCCATGGAAGAGACGAAGTCTCATTTCCCTCATTTCTATATTGGGTTTCCTGACATCCCCAGCCTTCGGAGAACCAGTCTGCGAAGCTTCTTCCTTCCAAAATTTGGAGCTGCCAGGCGGCGAAATCCTCGACATTGCTACAAAAACATACACGAACTTATCATTCCGAGCTCCCGCGGAGCAAAACCATTACGCCACTGCCGTGACCGATCTGAACGCTTGTGAAGTGATCATCACGTACACGCATCCCGGCTCCAATGACACTATCCACACGGTCGTTTGGCTACCCTTGGCTGAGAAGTGGACAGGAAGACTCTTGGGCGCCGGTGGTGGAGGATGGGCTGCGGGACCAGAAACCAACACTACACTCCCATGGGCGGCCAGCGAGGGGTTCGTTACCGTCGCGACAGACGGAGGTCACATCGGGCAGGATATTAGCTGGTCGCTCACTAACTCTGGCAAGGTCGACTGGGTGTTGCTAGAAGACCTTGCCTCGATCTCTTTAGATGATGCCGCGACGCTGGGAAAGGCAGTCACTCATGCTTACTATGGCAAAGCACCGAGCTATAGCTATTGGAATGGATGTTCGCAGGGCGGCAGACAAGGTTACATGATGGCGCAGAAGTACCCAGATCAATATGATGGTATCTTGGCGGCTGCACCAGCTATCTACTGGAACGAGTTGATGATGCAACTCTTCTGGCCGCAGGTTGTCATGAACGAGAATGGTCAGTACTAAAACAACGGCTGTTTATGCATGACTAACACGCATCAGGGTTTCCGACTCCGCAGGAATTTGAAGCTATCAACGTTGCTGTTGCCGAAGCCTGCGATGGTCTCGATGGTGTAGAGGATGGCATCATATTGGCACCTCAAGACTGTACCTTCGACCCAATGACCGTCGTTGGCAAGCAATACATCTGTCCTTCCACCAACCAGAGCATGACCATCACGAATACCCTAGCCAAAGTAGCAAAGTTGATATGGCAAGGCGCAACAACTCCCGAAGGCGAATTCCTGTGGTACCCCGGCAACATCGGGGCTTCATTCGCCGGCCTCGCATCAACAACCTGCAGCAAGAACAATACATGCGTCGGCGTACCGTTTGCCGTACCTCAAACCTGGATCACCGACTTTGTCATCCGCGACCGCGAATACGACACCGCACGAATGAACATCACATATTTCGAGCAGCTTTTCCACGATGCTGTAGCCCGCTACGACTCTGTTATCGGAACCGCAAACACAGACCTCGACGGATTCCGGAAAGCGGGTGGCAAGCTCCTTTCGTGGCATGGGCTGGCAGATCAGGCCATCGCGCCTGATGCGACTGCGCACTATGCGCAGCAGGTGCATGAGCGGGATTCGAATTCCAGTGATTACTATCGCTACTTTGAGGCGCCTGGCGTGGATCACTGCGGCGGTGGGCTGGGTTGGTATCCTGGCGATGGTCTTAAAAGCCTCATCGATTGGGTAGAGAAGGGTGTGGCACCTGAGATGCTGGAAGCGGAGACTACGCAGGGTAGGAAGGCGCAGCTTTGCTTATGGCCCAAGCACATGGTATATGTTGGAGGAAATCCCAACGAGGCTGCCTCATTCGAGTGTCGATAAGCTGCATCTGTGGCCGCTACCAATGTTGGACTATCATTCGCATGTTCGTAGATATTCTTGTCAGATCGCTTTCAATACACTTTCAATTTACCCAGAGTAATGTAAGCTTCAGCTGACGGTGGGTGGACCAATCGGGCTTTCGTCTGACTGACTTCAGTGGGCGTAGCGTGGGGGCTGGATACTGGAACTGGTGTTCTGCGCCTCGAAATATCTAAAGCCTCGTCGAAACTTTTGCATTCGACTACACAACTCGATGGTATCTCCGTTCTTGATTATCATTGTTTGTTGTATCTGTAACTCATACGACTCCGGGTAATCCTCCTGTTCGGCATTGACAACACTCGACTGACTAGAAGGCTTTCAGACATGCCACGAGATTAGGATAAGCTACAAAGATGGCAGAAGTCTGCGCAATTCTCGGCGGAGTGGGTTCAATGTTCAGTATCGTGAACGGTATCAGTAAAGTCGTCGGTATCATCGGCGACCTTCAGACAAAATGGGGCGAGGCTGATCTTACTTTGTTGAGTCTGGCATCCCAGCTCATCGCTCTACGGGCTGCCTCGACAAGGATACAAGAGTGGATAGATCAAGATCTCCAAGACACCCATCACCAACTAGTCATGGACCTGGACGTGTCGGTCTCCTGTTGCAAGTTATTGATGACCGAGATCGAGAGCTTCTTTTCCGACCTTGCACAACTAACGGAGAAACCACTCGATCTCCGCGACAAGTTCAAAGTTGTTTTCGGAAGTTACGGGCCGGAAAGTGTGCAAAAGCTCATCGAGCACCAGACAAGCTCACTGACTCTTTTGTTGACAGCTTGTAACTGGTAAGTATTACGCACAGTAGCAGCATGACAATGTTGACTTACATGTTTAGCAAAACTCTCGCCGAGCAGCAACGCATCCTCGGTACAAACAAGACTAGGAAAGTCTTGGATCGAGCAAAAGCAGACTCGATATCTCTCTATGTTCATCGTGACTCTGCATCTCTCACCAGCAAGATGACCGACAACATGTCAAAGATATCGCGTGTCTTCGAATTCGACTCAAACATCTTCTCTACGGGAGTCTACGAGCGTGCATTCCGGGGGTCAGTCAGAGATTTGCTAAGACGACGGCAGCAGAACCTCAGAGCTCACCCGACAGCTTCGTCCGCAGTAGAAGCTACATCAACGCCCGGAAGCTTGCAGAGTATCTGCTTTCTAGGACCTGACCAGATTGGCATGGATTTGTTGATCGACACCATTCAAACCGATCAACATCACCTTCACGACGAGTGGGCCTTACACCAGTGGGAGCTACGAAAGCTCTTTTTGAGTCTTGTAATCACCATCGTCCGGACTCGTTCAGATCACTGCGATGAAGAGGATGCCGGAGTTGTCATGCGATTCATGCGAACTGAGGAGTACCTAGAGCGATACTCCGAGTTGCATTCGGTATCTCATAAGGCGCTGGGGGCTTGTACGAGAATTTGGAATGATGCAGTGCAATTGGCTCAAGACCCGCACATCCGTAACGCTGCTAGAGAGAGGGTTGAGTTCGGCAAGATGGTCTTTTGGGTTCAGATCATACCTGATAGAGGGTTGAGCGTTACCAGCGGCAACTATGCAGCTAGGTCGTACGTGATATTATACACGCATGTGCAAGACCTCTGCTGACTCTTTCTCAGCTTCGTTCACCGCATAGAAAGTGTTCTGCCCGTAAGCTCTTCCAATCCGTTTCAGGGCACGGCCCGGCTTGCAGATCTTCTGAGAGGGGCAAGAATGGCATTCGAGGACGTTGCTTTCCAGCTTCCAATTGGCTATTCAAGTTCAGTGAGAATTATGGATCCGAATACACTCCGCCCGGGAGATGGAACCGCATATGTCTTCTTCGTGGACCTTCAAGACTACAATCTCGGCTTCGAGCTTGAGAAAAGAACCGCAGAACGTGTGCTCGCGTCTGCAAGCTTGCTGACAGCTCATCAGCAGCCGGTGATTGGTCTTGTGTTAAGACATTCTGGCAGGGCTATACAACAAATGGTGACTTCAGACTCTTTGGCTCAAGTCGGGAGAACGACAAACGCTGCTGCTAAAGCGATATCGCACATCACAATGGTCTTCAAAAGTCATCTCAGAATGGAAAATTGGGACTTTTCGTTCATTTTCAACGAAACTGAAGACGTGCATTCGGCCGAGACACTTGCTCGTTTGGAGAGTATTATAAGCGGCATCACAGTGCGTACAAGACCCTTTCACGAATAGTGAACTGGTTATTCACATAGAGCCATCGGATAAATGCGTTAAGCAAATCTGCTATTTCCAATTCTTGACTGTATAGACATGATCACGCAGGGCAGAAATGCCTTGTCGTCAATGGTTCTGAGGTCCCATCGATCTATTCCAGGTGATGTGTTGTGATGGTACAATACACCTGCGCATGTTCCGCGATACGGCCCGAGTCAGTCGTAGCATACAACTGTCTAGGTATTGAGTTTAGCTGCATCATCAGCCTTGTCTTGTACAGGGCAATCATTGTCAACCTCTGTTTGCACCTTTGCGTCTTCTTCCTCCACCGGTCTTAGTCCCGCAACAAATTCACCAAATGAGTCTGGTAATACGATCCATTGAAGACTCTCGGAAGTGTTGTTCATGTCGGAGACGAGTCTGCTCGCTTTTCCCTCTTCAACAATCGCCCATACAATGGAAGTTGACATGTCGGCTGCACTGTGTAGCAAAGGATTTGGTAGACGAAGTTCTCTGCACAAGAAATATTAGCTTTAGTGAAAGAGTCGGCACTTTGCTGAGGTTGAGCTTACTTGACAATTTCGTTGAAGATATCTGTACAGCCTTTAGTGCCATCAAACACTGCATCACCACGTCCGCGTGTTACGCATTTGTCTAGATAATTCGTCATTATCTCTGCAGCCTCTTGAATAGAAAGGCCATGAACTGCGACTATATTCTGGTCGATGAAGACAGCAGCTGTCTTCTTGTGGTGGGTCCTTTCATGAAACAAAAGGTTCATAGGTATGGCTCCGTTGTCGTCCCAATCTAGCCATAATGTTGATCGCATGTTTGGGTTAGTCATTGTGAAATACAAGGCGGTAAAGATTTGCGTATTGATCGCGCTGCAGTGGCGTTGCAGCTTTTCTTGTGGGAAAAGAAATGCTGGTAACTCAGACTGAAGAAGTACACGGAACACGACAAGAGGTCCAGCTGACCGAATCTCCTTGGAGGCTTCTGGGTCCAATGTTTTCTGAGTATGCACCTTCAACTGCTTCATCAGAAAATCCAAGATGGCTTGGTTTGTAATATTGAGGAAGGTTGTGCTGATGGGCCCGCCGTTGGAGAAAAGCAGGTCAATAAGCGGGGTATTGTTGGGGCTTATCTGGCCACCTACGTGAACGGTATGTGCCTTCTTGAACCGACCATTGGTACGCGCAAGATCACTCGCTTTCATCCCGTGTGCGCGAAGCAGGCGTTGAATACACAAGTCGAGTGTTGCCGGTCTGCTACCCCTGAAGACACTTGACTCGCCGAGCAGTGCGATTACGGTCTCCATGTCCTCCCACGTGTTTGCAAGTAACTTGTCTGCTGACTCAGCCCGGTTCGCACTGTGTGCTTGACGAAGAAAGTTGTAAAGATGCGCATATCCCAGTGTAAGTCCATCAGCGTTCTGTACAAGAAGCACCACCTCTCTCACGGCATGTAGTGCCACAAACAAGATTGTTCCAGCGAGGAATGGATTCATCCTGATCCAGTCGCCCTTATAGCGATCATAGAGTTCGTCTGGCTGGTAGTTTTCATCGAGACCTTTCGCTTTCCGCTCATGCTTCACGCGTGTTACCCAGATTGGATGATTACTCATCCAGACGAGGCTATCCCCCATTGTCAGGGGATCGCGGAAGAAGGATTTTAACTTTGATCGTTCCTTGTTGTCCAGAAAAAGCGCCGAACCCTTCACCACTTCATGTATGTACCCATGGCCAGAAGCGTGTGACCATGTCTCAAGATAATCAGCAAAGACTGACGCAACCTTTTTACGGTTGTCTTTGCGATCATGTGATGGCTCGCTGGAGTCCCGGCAATCGTCCGTAATCTGTGGATCCCGATTATGGTCGCCTTCGCTACCATCTAATGGCTTGTCAGACCTCTGTTGATCATCCATGGCCTGTGGATTCCGTTCATGATCGCCTCCGCCATCTGATGGCTTGTCAGATTCCTGGTCATCATCTACAACTTGTAGTGTCCATTCATAGTCTTTGCGACCATCTGAGCGCTTGTTGAGTGGAACGAGAGGAATCAGATTATCCTGAACTCCTATGTACAGATCGGTGTATAACATCATTTCGATGGAGATGTTTGTTCCATACTGGTAGTCCTCCTTAGGTTCGAGATCGTCGTCGAAGCCTCGTTTCAAGTATCCATACCATTCCTGCGTAAAGTTATCCATGACTGGAGGTCGTTCCCGCACGTCTTTGACCATATAAAGAATGTCATCCATAACGTACAAAAGAGATTGGTTCCTTAATGGGACATCTCTGCGACCATCATAGCCACGTCGCTCCAAAAGAGACATGGCGGTAGGATACGCTTCAAGAAATTCCCAAACGCAGTTGTATGTGTGCAGACATCCATAGGTGAGCAGGCTATCCGAGACTTTTACTACGCAGGACTGCGATCCTCCCATCATTGCACGAACTTTCGCTCGTACCTCGTCTGTTTGCCTCCTGAGCAATTTGCTGATCTCGGGACGATCAAGTAGCTTATGCCAGAAGCCCTCAGCGTCCTCTATCTCCGGGAACGAGGCCAAGAATTCGTGCACTAAGCTCTTTATCATCTGCATCGCTGCTTGTGTCGTTGCGGCTGCTGAGACAAAATCCACACCATCCTTACAATGGTAAAGAAACCAGATTCCTTTGACGGCACCCTTGATCTCATTGTAATCTTGTAACAACATGTTCATGGCAATCATGCGATCATCCTCTCTGTTGTCGACAGTATAATTCGTCTTTGAGGTTGTTGCTGGTCTAGCATCAAATGTCGACTGGTCACCGCTTCCCGGCTCCTGGTCTGCCAGCTCTCCAATATCAAGCTTGCTGAATCTAGTGTTTAGGCCATCGATCGGGGTCTGCGTAGCGTGGTCGCTGGGCTTAGGCGTCGCTTTGCCAGTAGTGATGAACGGCTTTAGCAAATTAAGTGTGTACTCCAAAGTTCCCGTGAAAGTAGCGTGTGCTTCGTTGCTCGCAGTGAATGTATGCTGTAAATTTGGATCTACATGTTCAGTCTGATTTTCGTGCCATTTCGTCGACTTGGTGCGCTGACGGATTGCTCGAGCTGCTGCTCTGCTGGCGTAGAGTGGCACCACGAACTTCTTGGGAGGTTTCTTTGCTATGGCATCGGCGCACGTTCTCAAATCATTGATGGTGATCTTGCGCGCTTGCGGGGATTTGGGTTCAGCCGTTCGCGCTTTCCCCTTGAGTCGGCCACCAGTAGCAGAAGTTGGCGCAATGGCAGAAGGGACGAAGCCACAACGACTAGCCGTCTCGACAAGCCATGTAACAAAGATCTCGGTGTCGGCTTTATACTCTCGGTAGCTGTTAGCGATGTTGTCCGGAAGCATTTTCGGCGTGCCTGTCGGTGTGTTGAGGCACTGCGATATCGCGACTCGCACAGGTGTCTTATCGTTATCGTCACGTGCGCTAACGCCGCGCTACCCGTCAACCCCCTGCAAACATCGGCATAACTCCTCCCATGATCTTCGATCCGACATTCAGCCACATCACACAACTGCTATGACAAGCCTGCTGTTACTTCCCAACGAGCTCACACAGCATATCGCATCTTTTCTGCCCTGCTCCTCAGCCCTCAATCTTTCAAGAACCAACCGACAATTGCGAACGATCTGCAATGACAAAATAGTATACCGCAACATTGCAAAGTACAACTTAGGACAGCCCCTGCTCTCCGAACATGGCATAGAACTATCGGAAACCCATTGGGCGGAAGCCGACTCCGTCTTAGCCACAACGACCCTACAAGAGACGATCCGCATAGCATATGCAGCGGAGAGATGCATCGAAGCTCTGCTCAAGAGTGGCGACACTTGGACCTTGCGCAAAGCCAAAGGAATCAATTCGTATGAACTGAGTAGGTGGCTACCGCATATAATGGCTTTGCACCACCCTGTAGCTGCACAGCTCAAGCCCGAGACTTTCCTGGAGCTTCAAGGCCGCTTACAGGTTCACTTCCAATCAGATGATTTCTCACCCAATCTCCTCGATGTCAACTTCATTCTCAGCTATACTATTTTGACGCAACTGCGAATGACGGGCAACGGGAAGCAAGTCAAAGCACCTTTCGACCGCTTCTTCTCCGTAAACCACATAAAAGATCCACCAATAGTGGCAAGTAACGGCGTGAGACTGGATGGAGATGCGATCAAGAGCCTTCGGCAGCGAGTGCGAGACTATGGTGCCTTCCGCAAGAGGCATATGGATGGATTCGGATTGGATCAAGCTACGACTCTGCTCCCCACTTTAATACTGGAACTGGCTGTACATGGATCAAGTTCATTGCACAAGACCGCACTCCCGTCACCTACCAAAATACCCTTTAACTCCTTCATGGACTTCTTGCCAACTATCTTCGCCAAGAATCCAGCACCCGCTTACGAAGATGAGGATGACAACGTACCGTTCGGCGAGTGCCACACTCAAATGCTCTCACCCGACTTCCTTTCCTCCGGGCGGTGGACGGGCTACTACTCGG